CACTGTGCTAAACACCAAAGACATAATGATTACACAATTGAACAATTCTGCCCTCAAAGAACTTGCAATTTGTTGAAGGACAAAAACAAGTAGACAGTGAATATGTAAAGGAATAATAGTTATGATAGTGAGTACTATGGAATAGATAAAGGGTGATAAACCTGATCTCGGAGAGAAGGGTAGGAAATAGCAGCAAAAGGGAACACTAAAATGAAGAGAGATTAGCCAAGTGGAAGTGGATGGAGGAGGCAGAGAGATTGTTTAGGTCAGAGAGAATGTGGTGCATTTGAGGGATTTCACTATGGTAAGGCTACTAGAGCAACGGGTAAAGGGTGAAACTGTTATTCAGCACCTTATAGGTCTTGTTTGGAAGGCTGAGAAATGAGAACTTACTGAAAAAGTTAATGCATAGTAATGTTACAGGCAACTTTATTTTTAACAGATCCCTGACTACAAGATAGAAAAGGAATTGGTGGAAACTCATAATACCTCTGAAGTTGCTGTTGAGAGGCTTTCCACTAAGTCAGGAAAAGATGACAGAGGTCTGGAGCGTATTGGGACCATTAGAACAGAAGGAAATGGAGGAATCTGAGAGTTTGTGGAAGTACAATGCATGACCTTGATTGTGGCACAGCAAGTTGTTAAAACTCTCAGTAAAACTATTTAAAGGCATCTCTAAGAGAAGCTGTTCTTACATAAGTTTTTATTATTATCCATAAAGATTGCCATTTCATGATTTTCTGCCTTTTCCTTTTAAACTCATCCATAAAGATTGCCATTTCATGATTTTCTGTCTTTTCCATTGAAACTTCTCCTTGAAGGACCATCGTATTAAGATTTGAGACTTTTCTTCTCATAAAACCACTGCTCAGGCCTCAATATCACTTCATTCATTCCTGTTCACTCTTACTCTCTTGTGTTCACTGACTCCTAAATGCCCGAATAATGTATTCCCAGTTATGCTCAGTTAATGTCAAAAGATAGGAAATAATCTGATGAAGGAATCCTCCACTTCAGTGTTAACTAGTAATGCCTTCTCAGGCAGTAATCCTCCTGTTAACTGTTTGCGTTTTAGTAGAAGAGTAGAACAAGGGACCTACTGACCTTAAAAAGTAATTCCTATCACCATCCAGACAAATAGAAAAAGATATTAAGGGAAAATATTTCTGGTACCTTTTGGATCACACTAGTTTTTAGTTGACCGTCTCACACTAGAGGCCCACAGAGAAATGAGAAATGTGAACAAACCCTGAGTTCCCAGGAATCTTTGCTAAATAACAATTTAGTAAATGCTAGCTTAGCTGGAGCCACTTGAGTTTTCTAGAATATAATTTGAAATCACTGGCAACAGATGCTGGCCTTGCACTTAAGGTAGAATGTGGAGAGCTTTGAAAACAATGGATTACCTTGCTCTGAAATATAGTCAACACCACCGCCACTTTTTAATTCATCATGGCCTTATGGCAAGATTACGGAAATGAATAGCTAGGACTGGAGAAAGTGTTGGGATCGGTATTTATTTTAATGATTTAGGAATTATTGGCCATTCATTTTCAACTATTTGTAATTGAAGTCTTGAAATAATGGAATTTACCAGAGGAATGCTTCATTCGCCCTTGTGTAATTTGAACATACTGAAATGGCGTACGTGGGCTCATAAATCGTTCGCCTGCACGCAGGGATAATATATCACAGCAGCCCTTGTTCACACAGGGTTGGGGAGGAGAGGCATAGAAGTGTGAATTATAGCTTACTAGACAGAATCCCATATCTTCACATCTTACATTTCCAGGAGGTTTTTTTTTTCTTTACATAACCTTCATTTTATTTATCCTCGCTGATTATTCATGATAAAAGATATGTTTATCAAGAAGTTTTTTATCAAGATTTTTTATTATGACTTATTTATCAAAACACAAGTATTTCTGACAAAGTCACTTTCAAGCAGTCAAACAGATCATCATCCTGGACTTGGAGCCATGAGTCCTGCAGTCTGCACAGACTGGGAGTAGAGTCTCTAATATACCAGCCGGAAGTGATAAGCACATTAAAGTCAAATTATGTGGTCTTTTTACCAGGTAGTTTTACATTTAAAGCAAAGACATTGTTACTATTCTCTTTCTTGAACCTGTAATGAGAAATTTAGTTATTGTTTTTCACCACTGCAGAACTTAGGCATTGTTTAAAATGACAAACATGCTTTAACATGTCAATTGTCCAGAATTAATTCTGCCTTTTGCTGTTAAAATTTTCTTACTTCAAGTCTAAATATGTATGCTGATTGAAATCTCAATCCACCATGATAGATGCCTTATGTCCTAGACTTTTCGGTCTAAAGTGAATGTTTGTAAAATATCACACATGCTAATATAGCAATCAAAGTTAAACATGAAAAACAATCTTTTTTATAGTCTTTGTATTTGGGATTTATTACGTGTGTTCACATTTTCATCCCATTTTTAATCTCTAGATCCTTGCTACTCAGTGTTGTCTTCAAGCCAACAGTGTATCAACATCTCTTGAAAGCTTTTCAGAAATGCAATCTCGGGTCCAGCCTCTCAAAATACCTCTACACACACACACACACACACACACACACATACTGCAGAATCAGAAACTGCACTTTCACCAGATCCCTAAATGACAAGCTTATAAAGTTTGAGAAGCATTGCTCTAGATAGTTATAGAATAGTCAATGATATTTTGAAAGAGACAAAAATCATTAATAAATCTGAAAAGTTACTTAGAAAACAAAATAATGATAATAATATGTTCCAGACAGCATGCCAGTTTAATGCCTTTTACATGTGTTAATCTCCAGTTGAACAAAAGGAAAGGGAAGCTTCTTTATCTGAGGATGGAGCAGCAAGTTAGTAAATAGTCAAATTTGGGAGTATTCTAGTTAACTTGTTTTTTCCCAGGAAAAGGGCTAAATCTAGAGTAGAAGTATTCAAGATTAAAAGAGGTACAGCTTACTTATGTGAGTGATATAGACTAAAGCAGAAATAAAGGAGACAGGAATATCACGTGAATGACTAGAAAAAAATGTTGCAATAATGAATTCAGCCAACCAAGAAGAGCTATTTAGAGGTGACATAACCAACATGCTAGAAGTACCTAGTGATTTCCATAATCTTTTTCATATAAAACAAAAGTTAAAAGACTATATTGTGTGTTTACTTGATGTATAAATGTACATATAAATAATTGTATGTTACTTTATATAGATCCAAGTCATGACAGTGGATAATTCTTATGACCTAAATATTGGCAGCAGTATATCTTTCTTCATGTATGTTGATGAGTATTTTTTTTCTTTAACAAAAGTCTTATGTATAAGTAGGAGTCCATGGAGAAAAGTATATACATGAGAATGAGAAAAACTAGTTTCTAATCTTAATTCTGACCTGATACACACCATAATAACTCCTAAGCCAAACTATGACCAAGTAGCCTGTTAACAGAATTTGTGTTATTGGTATGTTTCATAGGATTTTTTTAATAACACCCAAAACTTAGTCTTGAAGGGCTTCTGAGGCTAAGTTCTCTGAAATATGGAAGAGTTGATAATACTTCTATGTGCATTAGTTTTTAAGGACTCAGACAAACTTACTCTAATATGAGCAGTTTTTATAAATGTATGAGACACTAAATATTTCACATTAATGTCATTGGGAGCCACTACATCAAATCCACTTTGGTGGATGCAAATTAAACATTACAACCTGGGAAATAATATTACACAATAGATGAGAATTCAATTAATTATCTAGCACTACATAATAAATTACACTAAAATTTAGCTTCTTAAAATAACAAACATAGGGTCAACACGTGGTATGCATGGTGGTTAAGATGCTGTATATCAATGTGGCCAACTGCGGTTTGAGTCCCGGACCTGACACCTTGAAAATTTGCACTGGGCGTGTGTGAGTACATGCTCAAAATTCCAGGAGGAGCATAGAGGAGAAGAGATTGTGATGTGGCCATCCTCCCTGAGGGGTGATTTCTCACTATCTGTCTCAGTGTCTCTCTTTATCTGTCTCTCTCTGGTAAGCACATATGCCCTGTGGCAAAAACCTAAAAAAAAAATAATAATAACAAATATATATTATTTCACAGTTTCTGTGGAAGAGGAATCTAGGTTTGTGTTAGCCAGGTGCTTCCAGCAATCAAGCTATGAGCTTAGGCTGTGGTCTCATCTAAAGGCTCTCCCAACTGGGATTAACTCATGTAATTATTAACTGCCTTAGTTCTCTCATTGTGTGGGCCTTTACCAGGGCTATTTTATAACATGGCAGCCAGCTTCCCCCAGGACGAGCAATCCAACAGAGCTCAGGAGAGAGAAAGCTTGACCAAGATATTGAATTGTTGAAAAAGTCATGATGTGTTTTTCTGTGCTAAAATACATGATGACTTTTCTGACCATCCGGTAGAAGCCATGGTCTTTTTGTAACCTACTCTCAGAAGTGACTTTGCATTCATTCTGTCATATTCTTTTCTATAGAAGCAAGTCAGTAAATCTAGCCCATATGAAAGGGGAGGAGATTACACAAGAATGTGAATAGAAACAGGAAGGAATCACTGGACACCAACCACAGATGCTTTGTTTCCTTTATTCTTGCTTTCATATTTTCTATCATATTGATTTTAGACATGTATTGCTATGTAGAAAGGATATCAAAATGTTAAAGACAATAAAATTGAGTTAAGGAGAAATTATTCTTCTACCAGAAATGTTGATCAGAACAGTCACTTCTCTTTGGAGCTTTCTAAGTACAATGATTGAATTGGCTGAAGACAGGATTTATGGATGACCTTCCTGGCCACGTATTAGATCATGTTATGAATCCAAGTCTGAGATCATTAACCTAATAGGGTTTTGTATAGCTTGCAAATATTTTCCACTGAAAGATTGAACTAGCAAAGCCCCTTGATGGTAATATGAATATGTCAACCTTTCTCAATGGCCTAACAGCCTTTTGTTCTATTCCTGATAGTATGCTTGAGAGTTCAAACCGGCTGGATGAAGAACACAGGCTGATTGCCAGGTACGCGGCAAGGCTGGCAGCAGAGTCCTCCTCGTCTGTAAGTAGTTTGAGTGAAAGGATTCATCTGTTGGTATCTGAGATTCTTGAATTTCATGGGTCAGGTTCATTGTTATCGTTATAATTGATGCTAATTACCAGAACCATTCGCACTAATTCATTGTTCATGTTTGATGCTATATTATGGTACATTGGTGGTGAATTCTGTTCAAAAATGGCAAACTCAAAGAATAAAACCATCCATAGCAATGTGTCTATAGCCAGACTGGAAGCCCAACATCTCCCTTAATCCAGTGCCACCCCCATCTGAGAACCTGAGGAAGGCATTGAGGACTGCTTATGGCTCCTTTCATGGGTTTCAAGCAAATAGACTTAGCAAAACACAAGCAGAACAGTGGCAAGTGACACTTTAAACACACTAACAGAGGCCGTAAAACTATCACTCTCCATTGCTTATGACTCTAATACCAAAGCAACGATCAACTGGACACCTTTATTCAGAATTCATCTGTGCTAGACCCAGGGAGAGCTGCAATTGGTCCTTCACGAAGGACAATGAATGGCAAGGGAGTAAGTGAGGAAGCTGCTGCCTGCTCCTCTCACATCACATGACACAGTTTTCAGAGCCCTGTATGCTGAGCATTTAACTAGTAATCCCAGATGGGAACCATATAATGGCCCATTGCATTAACCCCGGCACCTGCTCTCTGAGACATCCGTGGTTGTAAACACCGTTAGAAACTACCATCAAGATGAGAAAGGATGAAGGTAGGAAAAGATCAGGGCAGGCTAAAGGTGCACTGTACATCCCAAAATTCAGACATAGTAAAACAGAGATATAATAGAATGCATAAACTCTTAAATGCCGTAAATAAAGAACCTGTTAAAAAAATTAAAAAAAAGCCAGCCGATGGCATAGGAGAACTAAATGTTAGGCTAATTAACCACTTTGAGAATCACTTGAGAAGAAAGGCAAAACAAGATTACTAGCAAAACCTCTTTTCCAAGTTTTCCTGCCTTTATCCATGCATATACCTATACAGACAGAGGGTGTGATATAAGACACGTGATTAGCAATACTGACTTTTGAGTTCCAACTCTCTATGAAGTCATGCAAACCTTAAGTTCAGTTTTCTTATTTGCAAGTAGAATAATTATTTTATGTATGTATGTATATATATATTTGTCACGCCGCAATCCCTTCTCCTCCATTCTCCTCTCGGGATCTTGGGCATGCACACACACACGCGGCATGAGTTTAAGCCACTGGGTCCGGGACTTGAATCGCAGTCGAGTACATGGGAGTCCAGCGACATAACCATTACACCAACTGCTGGTCCCATATATTATTATGTAATTATTATATTTGCCAATGCTGCCTGTCACTAGGGCCAAATGAAATAATAAAATATAAACATGCTACATAAACAGCAATCCCAAAATGACAGCCTACAGACCAAATTTGTCCAACACAAAAATTTTGTGTGGCCACCACAGTGTTCTCAGTTCTTTAGGAGCTGGCAGCATTTATAAATCAGATAGTTTACCTTAAAACTCTAGATTTCAGCTTATCTTGAAAGATGTAAGTAGTTTGAATGATCAGTTCCATGTTCATCGAGGCAAGAAGCAGTTGGAGTAGAGGCCTCCTCTGCCTTCTTTGGACAGGGCAGTCAGCACATTGCCATGACACCCACCCCTGGTGCCTGTCTTCCATTTAGGTTACATTCCTGGCTGCTTTCAACACTGAATTAGAATCCTGTGGGATGCTAACTCTCTATGCAAAGGTTATTATTTATATGAGCACAACATCAATGTGCATAATTAGAAGTCTATAAACTTGAATTTAGTCTCTGTTCCTCTTCTTTCTTGTGAACATTAGTTACTTGCGTTCTTTGCCTACTTAAATCATATATAAACTTTGTAGAGCACATCATAGGAAAGAAACCAACCTTTCACACGTTAGTTCACATCCCAGCTCCTTTGTAAATCTTTTCTTAATTATATAGTTAGCTAAGCAATTTGTAATGAAGAATTATATCGTTAACTAAGTCATTTATAATTAATAAGATGTCACAAAGTAAGAAAGGAAATAGAAAGGCATTTACTTGGATTCATTTCTATTCTTCTTGATGGAAATTTCTACATTTTGACTTGCTATGTTCTGCTCAATCATTGCATGTCCTACCTTTCTGCCCCTCGTCGCCTCATAACCTATGGTGGTCTAGCCATTTCCAAATACACCATGCAGAAACCTGAAGTCATCCATCCAGCCAACCACTCTAACTTAATAAATCAGCTCAATGTCATCTCCCCAATAGTGCCTCCCTGGTTACCTTAATAAAGTAGCTGTATTTCCCATGCTCCTACTGAATGATATGCCTATCTTAGCCATAGTAATAATCACTCCAGTTTTATTCATCTGTCCTTTGAGGACAAGAAACATATCTTTTTATACAACAACTGCCACATTCTTGATTACATAGTAGAAGCAGAATGAATGAATTGAAATATTTGAGGCAGCCTGAAACCTAAGGAAGTTTTAAAGACCAGCAGGTTGCATAATGGTTAAGGTGCTAGAGGCCCACATGCCCCATCTCGGTTCAAGTCCTGGACCAGTGGCTTGAAATTCACAGCAGGCACATGTGTGTATATGTGCCCCAAATCCCAGGAGAAGAGTGGAGGACAAGGGATTGTGTCTTGGCCATCCTCCATGAGGAGGAGGGGGGAAGTAACTTCTCACTTTCTCTCTCAGTCTCTCAGTCTCTCAGCCTAGTGAGTGCATGCAAAAAAAATAAAATAAAGGAAGTTTTATCCAAAGGAGATGTTCTCAAGTTTAAAAACTTGAGTCTAAATACATACAAGCAGATTTAAGTACAGATTCTCTAATTATGTGATAGACAGTTATCTCCACAGGTTTCATATTGTGTTTATATATTTATTACTATAACCATCACTCATGTATAAAACTAGATAACAGAGAAAACTGCAAGTAGCTGAGTCTTCCTTTGGAATAAATTTCCAGAAGGCAAAAATCAAGTCACCAAATAACTGATGTTACCATGTCTTCTCTTTTAAGCATCTCTTTCCAATTTCATTTTGTTTTTGCTTTTATGAGGACTTATTTCTTTATACATCATAGTACAGTAGCATGGTCTTACAAGAACTCACAGTGAGTGAGTAAAAGTTTTCTGTCTCTTCCTAATGAACTGTTGTTCTGTATACAATTTTACCTACCTCAAACTGGACCAATGATTGATAACACCAATGTATTCAGATTATCAATTCTTGTATCCCACAATCCTCTACATGGAAATTACAAATTCTGTTTTTATTAGCTATGTTAAAATTATCTTTGTTTTCAAAAATTCATCCTCAGTAACTTATTTTCTGTAGATTTTTAACCACTTCATTTTTCTTTAGAGACAACTGTACTCCACAGCAAAGACCATCATGAACAATTCATTATATACTTCCAAAATAGCCAGTAGAGCCAATTTCAAATACTTACAACATAATGTAATATTAAATGTTAAAGTGATGAATATGTTATATCCTCCATTTATTGCACATTGTATTCACACTTTTAAAAACTATATTGTACCCTACAAAAACACGTAATGATTATATGTAAATCATAAAGTATAGTAAGTATTTTAAAATAATAATAAATAATTGCTTCCAATAAGACAGTAATTAGACTAATTAATTCTATTAAAATTTTAATTTATCGAATTATTTAGTAGGATATAATCCTACTAAAAATTCCAAAATCCTGAGAGGAGGCTGCAGGAGAAGGAACTGTGGGATGACCAATTCCCCTGGAGAGTGATTTCTCACTTTTCTTCTCTCTTTCTGTCTTTTTCAAGTGAGCATGTTAATTAAAATTTAGAAGTAAATAAGTAAATAAGAGTCATATGTCTATAATCTTGGATTTATTGAAGTTCACATATTAAGACAGGGCTGCATAAATATTAGCTGGCTTGAATGCCTTTCAGTGCTCTCTGTGTAACTCTGGCCCTTCCCAAAAATGGGACCTCAGGTAAGATATCAGAAATTTGGGGACCAGCAGATGGCATAATTGTTATGTTGCTGGACTCCCACATGGCCAACTGTGATTCAAATCCCAGACCTGGTGGCTCAGAACTCACTCTGGGTGCACGTGTGTGCATACCCAAAATCCCGAGAGGAGAATGGAGGAGAAGAGATCATGGTATGCCCATCCCTCCTAGAGGGTGATTTCCCGCTCTCTGTCTCTCTGTGTCTCTCTGGCGAGTACATGTACCCTATAGCAAAAATCTCTCTTAAAATAAAATCGGTTATCAGGTATCTGTATGACATAGTTCAAATGTGCTGATCTTGTTCTTTAAAAATAATAGTCTGAAAATCTGTCCTCCTCTCCTGCTCTGTCTTTTCTAACCTGATTTGCTATTTCTTTCTCTGTCATCAAAGAGGTTAAATATAATCAGATATTTAAAGTATGCTAACACAGTAAGAATTTAAAAATTTGTTTCTTCTCCTCCGTTTCTTCTGTTTTCATTTCTACCTCTTGTCTCTGTTAATTTGCCTATTTTTCCTTTTTTACCTCTAGTTCAAATCTCTCATTATTCTTTTACCTTCTTGCCTCTCCAGTCTCATAAGACCTCTTATACAGAACTGACCTGCCATTTATTTTTTCTTATATTTATGGACTATATTAAATCCTTAGTTCTGATTTTTAAGAGCAAGTAGGTTAGCTGCTATATATTTTTACTCTTCAAAAAAGACATAGTTTCTGTTTTTAGGGTTTTGTCATAGGATGCATGCACTCACTGGGAGAGAGACAGAGAAAGGAAAAATGAGAAATCACCTCCCCAGGGAGATGGCCATTCTGTGGTCCCTTTTCTTCCATTCTTCTCTCTGGATTTCTACCATACACACACACACACACACAGCTGGCATGAGTTTCAAGCTGCCAGGCCCAGAACTCAAACTGTGGTCAGCCACATGGAAATCTAGCACCTTAACTACCATGCACCTGCTAGCCCCATGATACAGTTTCTTACTGTGACTTGGTATTGCTTTTCCCTTTATGTTTCCTTTTATGTTGTGACCCATTGTTTAAAATATAAAATGAAAAGAGACTCTATAATGTTAACCTTTGGTGGATCAACAAACTATGTTGATCCAAATCTAGCCTATTTTTTCACAATCTATGAGCTAAGTAAGAATAGCTTTTACATTTTTTTTAATTGTTGAAAAAAATCAAAAGAAAAATTGTAATTTGTGATGTGTGAAAATGATATGAAATTCAAAGTTCAGTGTCCATAAAGATTTTATGAGAATACTGCCATGGTTATTTGCTTCCATTTTGTCTGTGGCTACTTTGTACTACAGTAGCGGAGTTGAATACTTGCTCCCTTATGGTTTACTTCTGCTTTTTCTTTTTTCAGTTATTTTTTCCAGTGTGGCATAAATCAGAGCTTGAGATAATCTATTATAAATTATTGGACCAACCTAAAACCTGACTTGTCTGGATAATTCTTGATTACTTATTATAAAGACAAAGCAATGACTGAAATGCATAACTGGTTCACAAAGTTTCTATCTTTTATCTTCACAAAGTATAAACAAGAGGGGACCAGCAGTTGGCATAATAGCTATGTCACTGGACTCCCACATAGTTGACTGCTGTTCGAGTCTCAGACCTGGTGCCTTAAACTCACACTGGATGTGTGTGCATGTGTGCCCAAGGTTCCAAGAGGAGAATGGAGGAGAAGGAGAAGGGATTGCAGTGTGGCCATCCCCCCTGGGGGGTGATTTCTCACTTTCTGTCTCTCTGTCTCTCTCTGGAGAGCGCATGCACCCTATAGCAAAAACCTTTCCAAAATAAATAAGTAAATAAATAAAGTATAAACAAGAAAGAGAAACTTATGTAAGAGAATCAGAACGAAACTGGATCACAGTCCAAGTTACCACAGGCCAAATTTAGCTATAGAATGCTATTTAGGTATAAAACATAGGACTTCAAAATTCTTTATTAGCAACACATATCGCTTTTTTTGTTTTAAAAATGTACATGTATTAAAAATCATAGAAGGTCCAGCCAGTGGCATGGTAGATTCCACATGGCCGACTGTGCAGTTCAAGTCCCAGACTACCTGACTTGTTAAAACATTCCTGGTGCACGGCATGTGTGCCCAAAAACCAAAAGGAGAAATGGAGGAGAAGGGATTGCAGTGTAAGCATCTCCCATGAGAAGTATATTCTCACTTTCCCTCTCTTCTTCTGTCTCTCTGTCAGGCACACGTGCCCTCTAGCAAATTTAAAAAGAAAGAAAAAAATGAACAGAAAATGGCCAATCACAGTGGTGCCGTAGTAATGCGATACTCCATGATGCTGAAGCCACAGGGAAGGTCCTGGTTTGTGTCCCTATACGTGCTGGACACACACCTGTGTCTGGCTAGCTGTGGAAGGGAGTGGATTGTGACATGAGGACTTTTGTGAGGTTGCTTCTTTTTCTTTTTCTCTCTCATGAAAGAAGTCAATAAACTTAAAAATAAGATAATAGTTTTATGAAAGGCAGACTTTTCCCAATGTAAACCTTTCCTACAGTCAAACTTCTGGACATTAAAAATCAGGCTGTTTCTCCATGTCTTTTGATTTAGGCAACAGTGCTATTTTTTTTCTTTCTTTCTTTCTTTCTTTTTTTTTTTTTTTTTTTTTTTTTTTACCATTTTTTTTTTTAGGGCGTGTGTGTGCTTGCCAGAAAGACAGAGAGAGACAGAGAGACAGAAAGCGAGAAATCACCCCCTAGTGGGGCGTGGGGTGGGGGGGGATGGCCACGCCACAATCCCTTCTCCTCCCTTCTCCTCTTGGGATCTTGGGTACGCATGCACACGCACCCATTCTAAGCCACCGGGTCTGGGACTCAAACCACTGTCAGCTACATGGGAATCCAGTGACATAGCCATTACGCCATTTGCTGGTCCCTTACAGTGCCATTTTTTAAAGCTTCACATTCTTGGTAGGAGGAATAGTTATGGGGTTATTTTTGGGGGGGGGTATGGGGGCTGGTTTTATCATAGGGACTGCATACTTGTTGGAGAGACACAAAGAAAGACAGTGAGAGACAAAGTGAGAAATTACCCCCAGGAGGGACGGCCATGCTGCAGTCCCTTCTTCTCCATTCTCCTCCTGGGATTTTGAGCACACACACACACATGCACCTGGTATGATCTTTAAGTTGCCAGGTCTGAGACAACTAGATCTAAGGTCAGCTATGTGAGAGTCTAGCACCTTATTCATTCAACACCTGTTGGCCACAAGAGTTGAAATTTTTAAAAAATTTATTCTCAGAAATAGTAACATTTAGCTTGGGAGAATTTCAATAATGTACTTTTGAGCAATTAAAGCAAGGTATGTGTACATAATCCAAACCAAGTATTATAAAACAACACCAAATAAACCCTTGACTGAACATGCATACACATATACAACCATACATATACATATTGTATGATATAATTATGATATATGTGATATATAAGAATGGGGAAAGCTCTGACTGCCAATATGAAGGTTGTGAAAGTTGTTTGCATGACGAAGAATGATGGACCAGTATGGTGTGAATGTAGAAGAAGAAAGTATACATATATATTGGGTTATTGGAAAAGTCATGATGCATTTTTGCATAGAAAGACACGGAAAAATACATCATGACTTTTCCAATGTGTATATACACACACATACACACACACACACACACACACATGTGAATTCATCAGTCTAATATTATATACGTGAATACAGAAATGCATAAAAGTTTATTGATAAAAAGAAGAAAATAAAGTGTTACTATGACTTAAAGATGGATACTTTTATTTGTACATTACAGTGATTGATAATTCTAGAGAAAGTGCTATCTCAACAGTAAGACATTTTTTAAATCTACCTATATTGAGAGAAGAGTTGCAATGGAGACAGCATGGCAAGGATGAAAGTGCTTCCTGCAGATATCAAGTCAGAAAACTGAAGATCAATTTTTCCTACATTTGTATTGGCCTGCCAAAGAACTCTGTTCTATTTCTCATTGTATAGATGTGCTGCATATCCAGGGACCAGCAGCTGGCATAATAGCTTGTTGCTGGACTCCCATGTAATCGACTGTAGTCCGAGTCCCAGACCCAGTGGCTTACACTCACGCTGGGCATGTGTGCATGCCCAAGATCCTGAGAGGAGAATGGAAGAGAAGGGATTGTGGAGTGGCCATCCCCCTGGGGGGTGATTTCTTGCTTTCTGTCTCTGTCTTTCTGGCAAGTGCACACACCCTATTGCCAAAACCTCTCCAAAAAAAGATGTGCTGCAGATCCACAGGAGAGCCAGTCCTTAGGAAAGGAAGGGCAATTTCATTTTTAATAAAACTTTATTTTTTAAAAAAGAACCAGGTACTTAATTTTATTTGTTATTATTATTATGATTATTATTATTTTAATTCACTACAGGACTACAGGGCACATGTGCTCACCAGGGAGAGACAGAGAGAGAGAGAGAGAGGGAGGGAGGGAGGGAAGGAAAGTGAAAATGCAAGCTACTAGCTAGGTCTGGGCCTCAAACCACAGTCAGCTATCTGGAGTTCAGCTCCCTAACCACTAAGCCACCTGCTGGTCCCAGGAAATTTAATTTTATGTATGTTTGTTCTGATCATCATTTTCTCTTCCTTTGTCTTATCTCATGACTGTCTTCCCAATGCGTGTGAGATCATATCAAAACTAAATTGTGTAAACTACATATTTTACAGCAGCAAGCTCAGCAAAGAACTGCTCCTGACATCTCCTTCACTATCGATGCAAACAAGCAGCAAAGGCAGCTGATTGCAGAACTAGAAAACAAGAACAGGTAAGGCCCCATAGATGTGCTGGCTTTTTTGATCAGTATTCACAAGCCCACAGATATCTTGATTGCAGTGTTAACTATTCTACCTTCCCAGAGCGTTTTGTCTTTCCTCCCAGTTCTCTGCTTTCAGTCGCACATGGGGATAGCGCACACAAGGGGAAATCAGGACTTCCTTTGAGGAAATGCCCCAGGCATACCTGCATCTATTTGGTCTATTTCTTATTTCAGTAGGCAGCACCACGATTGTCCTAATAACCCTGGTCATGCTCTGAAATCACTCACACTGCTTATTTCTCAGAGGTTTTTGGATTGCACACTCTGAATGCATGTTCTCAGAACCAGAGAAAGAGAACAAAAGAAATGAGAATGAGAAAAATGAGAAGAGAAGTTCATCCTATCCCTGAGTTCTTTTGGATCTCCTAGAGTTTCCCACCCCACCCCAGATAAGCAGCAAGTCCATCTTGAACGAACCTCCCTAAACCAGTTGCCTCATGCTCTCTGAAGACTCAAGGTCCATGTCCCAGAAGTTTATCCAAGTCAGCTTTTGCAGCACAGAAACTTACCCCAGGAATCCCATTGTCAACAAGGTGATGATTAACCCAGTAATCACACCTTTGAACTCAACACAAGCATAGAGTTCTTGGGACCAGCAGTTGGCATAATGGCTATGTTGCTTGACTCCCATGTAGTCGAACGCAGTTCGAGTCCTGGACCCGGTGGCTTAAACTCACGCTGGGCTCGTGTGTGTGTGTGTGTGCCCAAGATCCCGAGAGGAGAATGGAGGAGGGATTGCGGCGTGACCATCCCCCCTCAGGGGTGATTTCTTGCTTTCTGTCTCTCTCTGTCTTTCTGGCGAGCACACATGCCCTCTAGCAAAAACCTCTCCAAAAAATAAAGCATAGAGTTCTTCATTTCACTTTAAGACTCAGTCTACTTTAGGTAATTCATGGACTTGTCAGTGATGATCTTTAAAAAGTAATGTTCCTGGGCCCAGTGGCTTGCTTTCTCACTTTCTCCTTTCCTCTCTCCTCTTTGCCGA